ATTTAACTAGAAATGTGTCCATAGGAAACGGGTGCCCCCACACGCCACTGTTCTGTCAATCTTACGACTTTAGGTCAAATATGTTTTGAAAACTAAAAATCTTTTACTAAGTAAAGGGCAAAAACTTTACAAATACTGAATTAATCCACAAGCAAACCCCAAGATGCATAAGTACACGTGCTGACCAACATTCTTGTAAACTTTCAGGCCTACAAGTCAAATTCTTTATGCATGAACAAGTTGAAAATTGCAAATTTATACAACTGTAAGTCAAGGGCAATAACTCTAACAAAACTGAAAAAAATCCACATGCAAAGTCCCAGGTGCATTGCTTCACAGTGATGTTGATCATTATTCCTGTAATTTAGTGATGTTGATCATTATTCCTGTAAAGTTGGTTGATTCTAACTCAAGCACTCAAGGAACAAGTAACACAACATAATGAAACGGTTTTTACTAGTCCAAGGGCAATAACTCTACAAATACTGGATAAATCCACTAGCGAAACACAAGGTGCACAACTACATATGCTGAGCAACATTCCTGTAAGGTTAAATGACTCTATGTCAAATCCTTTTTGAGTTACATGCGACACAAGTTGAAAATTGCAAACAAATTCTAAGTCAAGGGATATAACTCTAAAAATACTATATAAATCCACACGAAAATGCACAGGTTCACAACTGCACATGCTGATCAACGTTACATTCCTGTAAAGTTTCATGACTTTAGGTCAAATCCTTTTTGAGTTACATGCGACACAAGTTGAAAATTGCAAATATTTACTAGGTCAAGGGCGATAACTCTAAAAATACTAAATAAATCCACACGAAAATACCCAGGTGTACAACTGCACATGTTGATCAACATTTCTGTTGAGTTTCATGACTCTAGGTCAAATACTTTTTGAATTTCATGCGACACAAAAGAGAAGGGACGGACGGAATGACGGGTGGACGGACGGATGGACAAGGGTGTACCTAACACCCCCCCCCCCCTTAAGTGGGGGCACAGGAATGTCAAATTGATAAGTTTTTGTAAACTCCTTTAACAAGATTAAAGTTCGGTATTTAATTTTTGGAGAATAATATGAAACGACTCTTTAATGTGAAAGATAATATAGTAATTTTCAAATTTTTTTTTTTTTAATTTCTAATTTTTGAGTAACTTGCCTGTTCAAAGTTGGTTTCCAGTTTCTTCCTTGATTCACGATTGATGTATATGGTTTGTTTCAACTGCCATCTTCATTGATTGATTCAATATTTACATATGTATGTTGTTTGTTTCCTTTTTATACATCTTTGATTCGAGTTTCTCCTTCTCCAGTTAATAAAAGCGATAACGGTTATTTTTTGTTTGTTTCCCATTGTCTAGGTAAACTGATAATATGCAATTAAATGTAGTCTGTAGTCCGGTGTGTTAAGAACTGTTAAAGGAAAAACTATATTGCCTTGTCCCAGTTTCTGTTTAACTTGTTGCAGATTGTTATAGACAATGCCTTTTCCCCCATTTCATATGTCAAGTAATTCATTGAAGAAAGACATCATCAATAGATCCTTTATGACCTGAAAGGAAATATTAACAATATGTTAAAGACATCATTCAACTGCTCTAAAGTATCATGAAGAGAATATGAGAAAGCAAGTTAAAATTCATGAACAGAATTATTTTAATTGCTTGATATTGTATGCATGTATGACATTATTTATTTACAATCTTACAATCAAGACTGACTGTAAAACACAGCAGTACAATGCTTGTGAGGCAAATCAACACTTTCATTTTCGGGCAAGAAGCCAAGATGTTATGGCTTGAAAGTAGCCAACTGAGCTTATAACACATACAGACTATCATTTACATTAAAATGTTTCATCAAAATATTACCATTAAAATATAAACATATATAAATATTAAACATCATTTGCATATGCCCTTCTACGATGACATCATATTAAATATACAAGGGCGTATGCAAATGAGGTAAAATATTTTATTTTGAAGTAAAAGATTCTTTTAACTGAATTTATTGTTTTGTTTCACATAGATTTATTACATATTTATTACAAGTCCGGAATTGTCTTTAAATTGATTATAAATTGTATTTATATAGTTTGTGAAAATATTTAAGATTGGGGTGGGGTGGGGGGTGTCTTATTTGATAAACAAAAAAATAAACACCAAAAGAAGATTATATCATTAATCAAGTATCAAAACTGCGCTTTGGGCCATATACCTTTCTAAGTCTGACCAATCAGTCCGTGAAACTTGCATATTGCCCTCAGGCCATGTTTTATTTGATGAATAATACATGTGTGTATTGACATGATTATGGAGGGGTTAATGAGACTGGATTTACTATAAAATTAATTATACCATTAACCAAGTATCAAAACTCAGCTAAATACTGCCCTCTTGATGTAATTGGCATAAAATGTTACCGATTAAGAAGGTTGAAGTAAATTTAATACTTTAACACAGGAAAAACATGAATTTATTGTTGATAAAAAAAAACAACAACTGATGGAACAAATTGTTCTGTTGTTCTGTGGTTGTTGACAACAACCACAGAACAAAGAAAAAAAAATCAGGCATATTCCGGATAGTTCGGAATTGGAGATAGTCTGGATTTAGTGGCCAGTAGGATTTTCAGGAATATTAATCTTGTAACAAATTGGCTTAATACCTATCAAATTCATTATAATACTAAACTTCAGTAACAAAATTGTTGATGATTTTATCATGACATGTTTCACAATTTAATAAATTATATATCATTAATAGAATAGATCTACCAAAGAAATACATTAAAATATTGTTTAATGAAAACAAAACACAACCTTTACAATAATAAATGAATATATATATATATATATATATATATATATATATATAATATATATATATATATATATATAAATGAGAGAATATATACACACATACCACCACATCGATATTGCCAGTTCAATTACGGCACAGCGCCTAGCAGAACAGTCATGAAAGCATAGCCACTGCTCATCCACCATCACAAAAATGATGGTTTCAGAACAGCTTTATATACAGTCACAAACTGCACTACACATTGAAACAAGCTCAACATTCGCATATATAGAGTTTGTTCTCTGTTATCATGTCTCACAAATCAACGATGACATTTTTATTGTCATCGTTACTGATTGGGACCAGAGAACTATATATCTATTTCCGAAAGTCAACTGGATCCAGTAAGATCAGTAGGATACAATGAATTTAGACAGATAAAGTATATATAAAGGGAGATAATTAAATTCAATACAGTCATACTTTCCCCTCCTCGGGATCACTTAAGATACAAGTGTGCAGATAAATTGTTATAGAAATGAGAGAATATATACACACATACCACCACATCGATATTGCCAGTCCAATTACGGCACAGCGCCTAGCAGAACAGTCATGAAAGCATAGCCACTGCTCATCCACCATCACAAAAATGATGGTTTCAGAACAGCTTTATATACAGTCACAAACTGCACTACACATTGAAACAAGCTCAACATTCGCATATATAGAGTTTGTTCTCTGTTATCATGTCTCACAAATCAACGATGACATTTTTATTGTCTTCTTCACTGATTGGGACCAGAGAACTATATATCTATTTCCGAAAGTCAACTGGATCCAGTAAGATCAGGTAGATCCATAGGATACAATGAATTTAGACAGATAAAGTATATATAAAGGGAGATAATTAAATTCAATACAGTCATACTTTCCCCTGCGTGGGATCACTTAAGATACAAGTGTGCAGATAAATTGTTATAGAAATGAGAGAAAATATACACACATACCACCACATCGATATTGCCAGTCCAATTACGGCACAGCGCCTAGCAGAACAGTCATGAAAGCATAGCCACTGCTCATCCACCATCACAAAAATGTTGGTTTCAGAACAGCTTTATATACAGTCACAAACTGCACTACACATTGAAACAAGCTCAACATTCGCATATATAGAGTTTGTTCTCTGTTATCATGTCTCACAAATCAACGATGACATTTTTATTGTCTTCTTCACTGATATATATAGTTAAATAATTTTTTAATTAATTTTTCCTTATATTTTACTGGAAAGTAACACTTTTTTACATACCGCAACTAATGTGTGATTAACCGAAACAACCTGCAAAGTATTTTTTTTATGTTATTCGTCTGGAGCCACCATAATTATTGCTCAATTCGATTTCGATATATGCATTTAATGAGTATTATCCATGACTGAAAGTTTTTCCTTTAGTTGTTCTTTAATATTTCGCATGTTTCATCGTACTGTCAGTGTTTTGATTCTTATACCTCCTTAAACATTTGAAACAGAGAAGAAGTTAACTTAAATGAAATAACTCTATTTAATACAGTTTAGTCGCTTTTTTAAACTTGGTAAACTAAATTGACCCATATAATATTGTACTCACTAATTTTATTACATTTTGCCTAGAACTACATTTAAAGGATTTAATATAAAAAATCGACTGCTAATATGATGACTATAACAACACGGATTTTTTTTTTAAGATTTGCAAATGACCTTGTCCTAAGCTGTGATAATTTCAAGACTGGGAACAAAAGTAACGTAAATTTAGAATGGGAACAAAAGTAACGTAAATTTAGCATATTTAAGCCTGGGAATAAAAGTAACGTAAATTTAGCACATTAAGTATAATCGTTTACGTAAATATTTCCCATCATAGTGTATGAAGATTTAGTTACCAGTCTAGATTGTTGACAGAACGAGACCGGAAACAATTAATCATAATTGAAGTTGTCAAGAACATGCAAATTAACGCGTCTCTATAATGTAAAAGAAATACCGTATATAACAAACGATATAAGATAAAGATCTGGTCGTTCATGATTGACACATAATTAAGTTATTAAGATGTTTCCTAATTATAACAGGAAGTAAAATGACCACAGAGATATGAAAAATTTAATTTACACTGACCTAGATATAGACTTGACGAAAATAACACTACAGACTAGAGTAAACATTATTTACAAGTTTTTATTGCAATATAATATAGTTTCAAGGTTAAAAGGGAGGAATGTATTTACAGCTTACTGTTTACATTATCGGATAGCCTTATTAGTGGAATCTTTCACGTTACTGATAAATAGTCTTAAATCCATAATATGATATAATTTCGCGTAATTTAGCCGTGGAATTAACTGATGAAGATAGTTTGGACTTTGTGTCCTAAAATTTAAGACAATTTCAATAGCGACTTTAATGGCTATACATGATCTAGCATGGATACAAATTTAAAGCTAAGTGTGCGAATTATTAAGCGTGATTCCGGGAAGGCGGTATTTTATAAACATGATGGTCAGAGGTTCGAACAAACTCATACAGTGAAAATGAACGCTGACAAGGAATATGATATCATGTTTACGCTGAATCCGGCGATGGGTATCGAGTAAGTTAAATATTTCATATTATATTTACATGCATTATTACATATTGGAAGCATTAGATTTCTTACTTATAATTATGAAGATCATTTAGTTGTAAATAGGTTATAGGAAAATTAAGTGAGCATTACATATCATTTTATATACATCCTGTTTAATATAGATCTATCATGGACTGAAACAAATTTATTATATCTTCATTTCAAGTTGAATACATGGCTGTAAGTAGGTCAACGTTGTTTATCATTTTTGGACTTTGACATAGATAATCTATCTATATCCTTATAGGTTATGACAAATATCAGCAAAACCTAAAACAATATACTTTATTAGGACCTGTTCCTGTACAAGACCTAAAAAGAGTTGAATATGCGCTTTAGTTTTCCCCTAATAATGAATGAAAAAATCTATCCTTATTTCATAATTCAATTATTATTATTATCATTATTATTATTATTATTAATAATAAAAGCACTTTAAATTATCCTTATATAATTTTCATGAATTACGTCTTAAGAAGATATCAATAAATTCAATTCTAGGAAGGCCCCTTAGTTTATTTGTTTTGGGGTTATTTTCGTTGTTGTTTTTTCTGAGATGTCAAAAACTATAACTAAATAATAACCGTTTATATCTAAGAAATTTTCAAATAAAAAAGCAAGTAATCATTATTTAAAGTAGTTTGTACTATTCAATTCATTTAGTTTAAAAAAAATGAAGTGTATCAAGATGGGGTGTTTACGTTGTTTTAGTGACTATAATCTGGTAGGATCACTTAATTTCTTGTTTCAGAAAACTATTACTAAATGGAGAAGCTCATAAAATAGATCGTTGTCATGACAACAATGACGAATACGAGGACACGAGGACTTACGTCACACACTATGAGACAGTGGGCGTTGACGTTTGCAGACGAGGCAAGCGGAGGGAGCTACTTTTTGTACTAGAGGTAAGCATCCTTTTATCTTTTCAGGATAAATTTCTGTGAAGTTGATTAAAATTGATATTATCACATGTCCCTTTATTATTTATATCAATTAAATTTATATGTGTATACATAATCAAATGTAAAATATATTAAAACATGACGTCTTATCATCTACAAGACCAGGGTTCATCTTTGGCTGTTTAATACTGCTGTCACTGAGGAAAGTTCAAGTCAAGTGATTTGTATAACGTTTGTGTAAAGATGTTTTAATGCAGATATCATTCTATATTTCAGCTAGAAAACGGTGTTTACATGAAACTGAGTGTACAGTGTAAGGTATATAAATTCGGGGAGACCACTCACTGCAGCTGGGGTCAGCAGTTAGCCGGAATAGAGCTGGATTGTAAAATTGAGAAAGGTCAAAATTATGTCAACATATTACATGAAAAGTATTTCTGAAGCAATAACATTTTGATTATTAAGAACTAAATTGTTAATCTACAATTCCACAGTTTCTCTCGTGGCACTTATCAATGTGATATGCTAAGATGTGAAGTTGTCGAACTAAAAATGGAGTACAAAAAGGAGGAGAGACAACACAAGTTGATCGAATAAATCGTCCGCTAGGATTACCAGTCGTGTGATGATGGGCGAGGAGATAAGATATCTTCAGGCAGAATGTATGGCTGATAATATACTAAACTATAGATAAGAAATACGATAATGTGTACTTCATCTTGAAGTCTATCATATAAAGTTTACTGTTTTGTCAGGTCTAATATGATGTTATCTTTGTTTTGACAAGAGATCTGACTGCAAATAAAGATGGCTGTCTTTATTGCAGAGAACATTTTTAACAAATAGTTTATGATTTATATAAAGCTTTAACATGTTAATGCATATTATTCTTGAAACTGCAACTTTAAATAGATAGCTCAAAATGCATTCAAATTACACTAATACAAAGTCAACGGACATTTATTTCACTAGCTATTGCGCTGTTTATACAGAATGATATTGTACTGTAACAATTCTACTTCAATGTTTTTGGAAGACATGCAAACAGAACTATAAGCTTCGTAGCTTAATTATGATTTTGTCGTTTTAATGCTTCTTAATTTGTTTATATAATCATACAATATATAACATCACACTTGTTATTTAGGCGGCACTGGTAAGTTTAGCTATTAATTAATGTACGTCATTTTTATTAAAACACAAGAATATCAAAATGTCATCTATAACTGCATGTATTTATGTTTTGAACTTCATTCAATTTGTTTGTATCAAAATTATTTCAGTTAATATGTTTATGTATGCAACAAAAATAGAAACCATTTAATTAAAATAATTGAGTGTTATGATATAATTGTTTTGGACCTGGCCATTTCATTGATGATATATTTATACTAGATTTAGATATCGTAATAATCATTTATATTTTATCGAAGACCAGAATTGTTATTACCATTGTAATGTAAATAACCAAATAAGGACCATAAGATAAAGATTCATAAACAAATTCGTTAAAAAATGATTATGCTCTGTCAGATTGCCTAGCCAGCTGAGCATTCCAGCAGAGCAATTTTACACTATATTAAGGAATGCCCTGCTAGTGTTCCTTGCCAGATGAGCATTCCAGCAGAGCATTTTACACTATATTTTAGAATTGTCCGCTATATTGCTCTTGTAGCTGAGCATTGTGTCAGAGCATTTTTACTCTATATTTCAGAATGCTCTGCTTGGTCGCTCTGCCAGGCAGAGCATTTTACACTACTAGTATCTTAAGAATGATACTATATATTTCCCTGCCAGCTGAGCATTCTACCAAAGCAATTTTACTCCACATTTCAGAAAGCTCTGTTTGCTTGTTTGTTTTGCGACTGATCATGCCAGCTCACTATTTTTAGGAATGTCCTGCTACATTGCTCTGTCAGCATTCCAGCAGACAAAGTTTTACATTATATTTAATAATGCCCTGCAAGATTTCTCTGTTTGACATTTCTGCAGAGGAATTTTATACTATATTTAAGACTGATCCGCTTATATTGCTTGACCAGCTGAGCAATCCAGCAGAGCATTTTACACACTATAATAAGGATTGCTCTGCTTAATTGCCAAGACAGCTGAGGATTCCAGCAGAGCATTTTACTCTATATTAAAGAGCGCCCCGCTAGATTATAAATATATATATAATATATAAATTGTAATCCCTTTATGCGATGCTCACTGTTCACTCTATTTTCTCACATACTAACAGATAACCCGTCGCACAGCATTATTCATTAATATATGACATTCATTGAAGAAAATAATAATTTGCATGCATTGCTCCTAAAAAGATTTACTGACAGCAATTTATATTTACCTCACCCAGCCAAAATCACACCTAAAATATACTAATATGGGCAATCTTCATACTCCAGAATCCGCCCGATTCCTTTAAAAATATCACTTACACGCAGTGCAAGCTATGGCATTTTAAAAAATGACAAATAAAGTGTCTGTCATACGTTCAGATTTTTCATTAAAAATTATCCGAAATTTCTTACTTGTTTGGCGCCAACTGTCAAAGCTTGATTTTTAACTTTTTCACCTCCATTCATTCGGAGAGTCAGAAATACATACAAAGCTACCAAAATGCTTATGTTCGGGTAAAAACCCAAAAATACTTCTCATTTCCTACACACAAACAAGAAAGAATTACAATAACAGAGAAATATCAGAAGTTTCCAGTACCTTCAAAACACCATGTCTGAGTTATTAAAAAAACTGACCGGGCCATCATTCGAATATATCCCCTGTCCCCTAAGTAACGCAGAAGTGTGCAATAAATGGCGTATAACTTACAGGATTTCAGTAAGTAAACTGGCCAATATATTTTTAACTTAACCGCACTGAAAAAAATGAATAGCCGCATACGGCTGCGAAGACATTTCTATTTATCCCTTATCAAGAGTATTTCCTTGAAATTGTTTACTTTTCAAGATCATTAGTGAAAATAATGGTTTGACCTCTTTGAACTTCCTTGTGTTTATTTTGTCAAAAAATTAATAATTAAAGAGTGAGACCAATGAAAAGTTCTATAATTTAACAAAGCCCATTTTCATAACTACCATCATCTCAATAGGTATTGAGAAATTGATACCCCGTTGCAACCCCGTTGTTACCTTGAGTAAGACATTTTTCACGAATTGCCTCGTACTCACTTCAACAAAGATTAATTATATTACGAAGCTTACAGCTAAAGTCGAGTATAAAATTTAATAAAGATTTTTTGATTTTGTTGAAATCGCGGTGGGATTACGTCAGGGGCAGACAAATTCCCCGACATTTATTTTCCTTTTTTGTTAAAGTCATCGAATCGTTTTTGCAGCAAGATAATACAACTGACCTAACCATTAATGAAGTTTGTCTTGTTATTTTGTTATTTGCGGATGATATGGTAATATGTGGCGATTCCGTTGAAGATTTACAATCGTGACTGAATTCTTTACGCGAATATTGTGACAAATGGGTGTTAGAGGTAAACACTGCAAAATCCAAAGTTGCAAATCTGCGGATGTTTCAAAATTCTAAATTTTACCAGTTCATGTTAAATGTTGAATTCTGCCTAAGCTGGTGCTAGGGGGCGTGGACGGTAACTTGCACTTTCAAGTACCGTCCATGAACAGGCTCAATCAAACCGAGCCTGCAACATTTTCAATTTTTCGTGTTGGGCTTTCTTTAGGGATTCTGTATTTTTCTTTTTTATGAAACGAGAGCCAGTTAAATGAAATGAAGTTTTAATTTAAAATAATGAACAGTTGGAAAGTGTTGATGATTTCAATTATTTCGGAATAACATTGAATTACACTGGTACTTTCGCTTAATTATTAAATGTCTAAAAGGCAAAGAAATTAGGGCGATGCACACATTGTTAAATAATATCAAAAGATATAACATTCGTCTGGATATTTCATTGCAACTTTTAATGCATTCGTAGGATCAATATTGAATTATGGTTGTCCTATTTGGGGGTTTACTAAGACTAGTGAAGTGAATCAGAACGCATTCATCTACAGTTTTGCAAAACAATCCTTGGTGTAAAACAATCGACAAGTAACGCAGCTATATATCCAGAAATAGGTCGCTATCCTTTATATGTATTTCGTTTTGTACATATTATTAAGTACTGGGTCAAGATTATCAATACGGATAATATGTTCTTAAAATCAGTTTATGCACATTCATTGGCGCAGTATAATAATGACAGAAATAATTGGATTTTCCATGTTAAAAAACTGTTTGATGATTATGGATTTAGCTCTGTTTTTTTGTAAATCATGAAAACATGAATTTCAAATTATTTGTAAATTTGTTCAAGAAAACAGAATCGGATTGTGCCTTAAGGAATCTATTTGGAGATATTGAGAAAAACGAAATACTGAAATCCTTGTACATACATTTAAAACCGAGCTTTGGTATATCTGATTACTTGATTAAAATAAATTCGTTTAAAATACGTAAAAGCATAACTAGATTGCGCGTGTCGTCGGATATTTTATTTATAGAATCTCTTAGACATGGGCGTAATCGAAAACCAACAATTGAAAGATTATGTTATTTCTGCAGTAATGACATAGAAGATCCATTTCATTTATAATCATAAGCAAAAAATATTCGGACCTGAGAAACAAATTCATACCAAAATATTATGTGTAAAATCCGAGCATGTACAAATGCATTGATTTATTAAGTTCTAAAAAGAAAAAAAGTCTTGTTAAATTTTGGAAATTTTATAGCACAAACATTTAAACGCAGGGAATTAAATCAACCAAATCTTCAGACATAATTATAAAAATGTTATCTTGTTAGTAATATTACTTTATTTCTTTTCATTCTCCATGTTTGTTAATAAAGTCCAAAGATGTATTTGTATCATTATATGACACTTTGCTACTAAATAATGTTAACTTTGATGATGACGTGATGTTTAATTATATTTGAATGTATGTATTTTGTGACGTAATAGAACACAAAGAAATGAAAGATTATGCCAATTATGTAACTTACCAGAAATTTAAGATGAATATCATTTTATTTTAGTTTGTCCATGTTATCAAGATATTCGAAGAAGATTTATCAAGCGTTATTACTATATTAGACCTTCTATGTATAAATTAGTAGATTTACTACAATCAGATAATAAAGCTATACTTGTAAATTTAGGAAAATATATAGATGTAGCTAATAACAAGAATGTCAAACGACACATATACCCCCCTTTCTAGCCATTGACTCACATAATTGGTAATTTTATTAAAGAAACTTGCCAAAAATGGGTACATGGAAGTGTTCAATTATGGAAAAACCAACGGAAACCATTTTGACATTTAATGCCCATGTGACATTGACCTTTGACCTAATGACCCCTAAATCAATAGAGGTCATCTAATACTTATGACCAATAACTAGGTGAAATATGAAGACTTTGTGATGAATACTTTTCAAGATAATCAGCTGACCCTTTTGACATTTAAGGCCTCTGTGACCTTGACCTTTGACCTAGTGACCCCAAAATCAATAGGGGTCATCTTCTAGTG